TTGAGGTGGAGGAACTTGGCTGGCCCGCACAGAGTCCTGACCTCAACCGAATAGAACACCTTTGGGATGAATTAGAGCAGAGACTGCGAGCCAGGCCTTCTCATCCCACAGCAGGGCCTGACCTCACAAATACGCTTCTGGAAGAATGGTCAAACATTCCATAGACACACTCCTAAACCTTGTGGACAGCCTTCCCAAAAGAGTTGAAGCTGTTATAGTTGCAAAGGGTGGGCCAACTCAATATTGAACCCTACGGATTAAGACGGGGGTGCCATTAAAATTCATGTGCGTGTAAAGGCAGGCATCCCAATACTTTTGGCAAAAAAAAAAAATAATATATATATATATATATATATTATTTTTTTATATATATATATATATATATATATATATATATATATATATATATATATACACTTACCAGCCACTTTATTAGGTGCACCTTGCTAGTACTGGGTTGGAGCCCCTTTTGCATTCAGAACTGCTTTAATTCTTCATGGAATACATTCCACAAAGTGTTGGAAACATTCCTCAGAGATTTTGGTCCATATTGACATGATAGCATCATGCAGTTGCTGCAGATTTGTTGGCTGTACATACATGATGCAAATCTCCCGTTCCCGAATCCAGATTGAGATTATTCGAGTTTTGTGACATGGTGCATTATCCTGCTGGAAGTAGCCATCAGAAGATAGGTACACTATAGTCATAAAGAAATGGACATGGTCAGCAAAATACTCAGGTAGAACGTGGCATTTAAACGATGCTCAATTGGCCCAACGTGTGCCAAGAAAATATCCCCCACACCATTACACCATCAGTCTGAACCGTTGATACAAGGTAGGATGGATTCATGCTTTCATGTTGTTTACGCCAAATTCTGACCCTACCATCAGAATGTCTCAACTGAAATCAAGACTCATTAGACCAAGGAATCTTTTTTCCAATTTTCTATTGTCCAATTTTGGTGAGCCTTTGCGAATTGTAGCCTCCATTTCCTGTTCTTAGCTGACAAGAGTGGCACCCAGTATGGTTTTCTGCTGCTGCAGTCCATTCAAGGTTCAACGCGTTGTGCATTTAGAGATGGTATCCTGCATACCTTGGTTGTAACGAGCGGTTATTTGAGTTGTTGCCTTTCTATCATCTCAAACCAGTCAGCCCATTCTCCTCTGACCTCAGCAAGGCATTTTCATTCACATAACTGCCACTCACTGGAAATGTTCTCTTTTTCGGATAATTCTCTGTAAACCCTAGAGAAGGTTGTGCATGAAAATTCCATTTTTTAAATACTCAGACCAGCCAGCCTGGCACCAACAACCATGTTATGTTCAAAGTTGCTTAAATCTTCTTCCCATTCTGATGCTCGGTTTGAACTTCAGCAAGTTGTCTTCACCGCGTCTAGATGCCTAAATGCATTGAGATGCTGCCGTGTGATTGGCTGATTAGCAATTTGTGTTACCAAGCAATTAAACAGGTGTACCTGTTAAAGAGGCCATATGTATATATATATATATATATATATATATATATATATTACATTCTTCCATTCAATGGATGGACATTACAAGTAGTGTGATTTTTGATAAATGATGCTTAAAAACGAAAAACCTTAATTGTATTTATTTGCCTGTTTATGGGCAGAATTTATAAAATTGGCTTACAGTGGTTGTAAACCTCAGACATGAAATATGAACAAAGCATATCCCTCTATAGTGTGTGTCTCAATTAAGGGCACTAAGTGTCATTTCTGTCTGCTACTTCCTTCCTCTGCTATCAGTCTGAGTCACTTGTGACAAGTTTTCCTGACACCAAGAGAAAAAAAGTGACAGGGGAGGAAGCTACAGCATATTGACAGCCTCAGCTCTGTTCCTGTGAGTTGTGTGGAGGAGGGTGTATCTCTTCCCTCTCCTTCCCAATGAGCTCTCATTGCTCTACTCACTGAGCTCTGTAGTGTGTAATGATAGCGCTCTGCTCTCTGTTTTTCTGAATGCTCAGACAAGCTTTATACATTCATCACTTTGAACAGATGTAGAGAAGACTTCATATAAACAGGTACAACTTATGTTAGAAAAATGTTTGCATCTCTGTATCACCTGTCAGTTCATCAGTCGGTTCACTGAGTATATGTAAGGGTTTACAACCACTCAGATGCAGACATCAAGGACTTCCCTGCAGGTGGTCCTCTAAAAAGCCATGCATGACCTGGACCAAATATAAAAATGGCAGATCAATTCTTGGTTCTGGGCATGTGCCAGAGACTGGTCTGGAAACAGTATAGGACAGGCACAGCTTTTCAGGAGCACACAAAGAATATTGCCAGCTGTAAACAGTGTTTGACCCTAGGCAGGTGGCAATAATGAATGGTATGTGTTATGGCTAAGGTCATTTATTTTTTATTTTTTTTCTCTAGAATATGATGAGGAGGGCAAGGGGGTGGGATAAGATTTTTTCATTTTTGCAAACCTGTATCCCACCCTCCCCCCAAATTTGAACAACAGAGAGCAGGTGAATAAATACAAAAACTACATTAAGACTTCAGATGTATGTGGACCTTAAAGCATAACCAACATCTTTGGAGATTCAGTCAATGTACAGTTGCTTAACTCCAGAGAATCACCTCCATTCATCAACTCTAGGCTTTTGTACAAAGCTGCAATATTCTCACACTGCACAATATAGAGAAACGTAGTGGACCTTTAGCCTAGTATTAAAAAAAAGACCACGGTTTGCACACTTTTATTTAAAAACAAAAAAACAAAAAGAAAAACCAAAAAACTTTGGGGTTGATTTACTAAAGGCAAATAGACTTTGCCCTTTGGAAGTGTAGTTGCACTCTGCAAGGGCATTTGTGCCAGAGCTTAGTAAAAGAGGGGAAGCTCTGCTAACATCTATCATACAATCATGTGCAAGAAAAATGCTGTTTTTTATTTTCCTTGAATGCGATTGGGTATTCTTAGCAAAGTGAAGCTTCACCTCATTAACTAAGCTCTGGAGCAAATACCCTTGAAGAGGGCACAGTCTAATTGCTTTTAGAAAATTAACCCCTTAGTCTTTATATTGCTACCCCACTTTTATTTTTTCATATTACTATTTTCCCAATCCTAGCAAATATCTCAAGCTCACAACCAATGACCTGCAGTCCTATTAAATTTGGATAACAAAATCTTTACAAAATTTAATTAATAAGGTTTAGGTTGGTATTCTATATTTTTGGCAGTCTGGGGAGAACACTAGGAAAACTGTTATTTTAGCAGACATATTGAAAGAAACTCTAACTCCAGATGTAGAGTGTCATGTAGTTTGTTGCAAAAAACATTTTTGAGTAACCAGTGAATGTGCTTTGTAAAGAGTTAGCAATTTTTTGCTTATTTTTAGGAGGTCTTACAACTAAAGGGTTAATATACACATATGCTCATCTTTCACCTTTTTATGGTGTAGTTCAATGGATCCACACAAAAGGTCACGTACATCCTAATTGGGTCAATGAAATCAATGTTTATTCCTTCCTGCCTGAGAGCTAATAAATGACATCCCCATCCGTGACTCTGTAACAGGTTCAATCTGAATCCCTTAAATTCTCATTTCCACTGCACAACATGCAGAAGTGACTAGAGCATACTATGGCAGTACCAAGTCAAGCCACATGACTACAGGGGAAGAAATGACATAACATATCAGGTGAGAGTTTTTAATTTTACTAGCTTGCATCATAAATATGTCATTTCCCTGTTATTCAAGCTGATTAAACATGAAATACTCTGAATCATCTTCACATATATTCTATTGTTTTTGATCATATTCTGATAAATATACAAAAAACAAAAAAAAAATATTTTTAAATTCTGAAAATATCATCATGATTATGTGTATATATATATATATATATATATATATATATGTATATATATTATACACACTGCAAAAATTGAGTGATGCCTGAATAAGGGCCTTTTTTAATTTAGAGTGGGACTATGGGCAAAATAAAAAATTATATACGATATAGTCTGTCAGTCTCCCCTGTAACAAAGGTTTAAAGCATGTTGATCCTGCCAATATGTTTGCTATTTTTAACTTCCTATATCAGGCTAAGATGTCTGGAAAAAGTGGCAGTTAGAGCATTGAAACCATGTTGATGTGGTTATTTTGCTGCAGCTGCAGGCATGATCCCGGTATCTTTGTTTTTCAGCCTGCATTGAGCTGTAAAAATGATCCTAGTGGCTAATTAGCCGCTGGATTGTTTTAACAGGTGGAGGAAGGGAGTCTCCCCCTCCCAATGCCTGCCTGTGCTCTCCCATTTCTCCAGTCCAGCCGATTTACCATAGAGATGATTAAGGACAAGAACACCCCAGATCACCTCTACGGTGTAAAAAAACAAAAGCAATAAGTATTTTGCCACTTCTAGTTTTTGCCAGGATGTAAACAAGCCATTATTGCTTTGTACAAGCATCAGATCAAACTTTAATTTGATCTGATGCTTTGGATCTATCTTTCATGGCCCATGAAATATCTCTCTTATGTCCCATGCTATCAAAATGTTGTTCATCCCTTGTGATAGAAATAACATTAATTAAAAAAAAAGTTGTTACAGTGTAAAAAAAAAAAAATTCTAATAAAAGAAATAATATATTGTTTTTAAAGCACCCCCATTCCAGAGTGGTCATCTGCAAAGGCGAACACATGCATTGGTCTCGCACATGCATACCAAAACTGCAATCGCACCACACATGTGAGGTATCACCTCAAACTTCAGAGCAAGAGCAATAATTCTAGCACCAGACCTCCTGTGTAACTCTGTAAAGCCTTTTAAAGTGTCACCTATGGAAATTTTTTAAGTACAATAGTTTTTGACATTCCATGAGTGTGCACAATTTTAAAGTGTGACATTTTAGGTATCTTTTTACTCACTGCACCATTATCTTTTATATTTTACCAAACAATTGGGTATTCTATTGTGTTTTTGTGCATTAAAATTCAAACCCACCATTTTATTCACTAGGGCCTCTGCTGTAAAAAAAAAAAAAAAAAAAAAAAAAAAAATATATATATATATATATATATATATATATACACTGTTTGGGGGTTCTAAGTAATTTTCTAGCAAAAATGCTGATATTACATGTAGTAGATAATTGTCAGAATATGCTTGGAGCTGAAGTGGTTAAAACGAAATCATAGCTCTTCTGAATAAATTTTGGTTTTCCAAAATCCTCCTCACTATTCTGCTTTTTTGAACAACCCAGAATAAATTGATCACCAGTAAGTAGTGGTAGAAAAGGAAAGTGAAAGTAAAAAAAAAATATCTCAGGATCACAGTGGGCCAGAGGAAAAGTAGTTAAATCAGACAAAATACAGAAATACCAGTTTGAAACCTTTTTTCTTATTCTTCGTCTATGTATTTTCTAACAGAGAACATTTGATAATCCAGTACTTTATCTGTGAATTAAAGGATGATACTGTCATTATAATTTAAGATTTAGACAACCCAAGGAGCACTCTTTATTAAATTAAGGTATAAGTTCACTTTTGGGAATATGTTACATGTTCTACCCGTTTTTAGGGTGGAACATGTAACATGTTCCCATAGCTGATGCCCACCACCCCCTCTCCGTCTGACAGATAGTACGGGGAGAAGTCTCCCCGTACTATCAGTCAGATTTGAAAAGAGTGGAGCTCCGCCCACAGGACCGCGTCATTCATTCACGACTTCTGTGAATGAATGAACTGCAAGTCCTGACAGCCTTGCGGCTATGGGCTTGTAGTTTCCAATGAACTTTGACAGTGCTGTGGAGCGCCATGGTAGTTCATTGAAGCTTCCTGTCATAATATCTGCTTGCTCCTACATCCTGTACAGCAAACAGATATTCTGACAGGTCTGCAGGAGACCTGCATGGCATTATTGATCTACTGATCGCTGGTACAATGCTTTCTAGGCTCCTGTAGGCAAAAATAATAAATGCACATTTTTTTTATCTGCAAAAAAAATGTGCATTTAGTATTTTTGTCTAAAAGGTGAACTTATCCTTTAAGCTCAAATGTTAATGTTGTAGAGCACAGAGCTCCAGAGTGACTACACATAATACATTTGTATTTCTGGTCATTTTTGTTTTTAGACTGTGGAGGTGGCAGGGTAAGCAGGGTGAGCAGGTAAGCGGAAAGCCTCTTGCTCAGCCGCAGACATTAACTCTTCCTTAGGGATCCATTTGGATGTGTCAGCACAGTTCCTCAAAAGGCATCTGTGCCTGATAGCCAGACCACCTCAACCAACACATCTTAAGGTTTATATTAACTAAAACTAAGCTTTATAAAACAAAACTAAGCTAAATCAGATACATTAACTAGGGAAAGGACTTCAGAATAATTAAAAGCATTTTATTTGGCAGCGGAGGGGTTAAGTAGAAAAATGCCCCATTCCTTATGGAATGGCATACATCAATAATTTGTGTTCCCTTTAAGTGCATACACTTTAAAGATTTCACAATACCTCCCCCTGCCAAGACATCCCATATACAAATACCTCTCATTCAAAGGATTTGTAAGACCATGCAAGAGTTTGCATTCGGAAAGCACCAGAAATAAACAGAGCTGGGAAGGGAAAAGGGTGCCTTTAAAATCCTATTAAACTTTGTAAGGCTGAGCTCTTAAAAACAACAAAAAGCCCAGCTTACGCCTTGGAGGATAAAAAGTAAATATGTGTAGGAAACTGTAGTCAGATCAATACAAATCTTAACAAAGCTTTCCACAGACACAGAACGCTGGAGCCCTTTGACATGCATTGCAAATTAATTGGGCACTGTACGGAGCAGAGTGGGGGATTCAAGTTAATTAGTCTCGAAATGAATAAAAAACCAAACATTATACGAATTGTCTGTGGTGACCAGTTTGTTAGTGGGGGATTTGGCCGATCAGCTTTTGTCCGGGGTAAATTGGATTTGAGTGGGGCGGCACTGTGTCTCTCTCCGTTGGCTACAGGTTCGGTGCATGGGAAAAAGGAGAAAGCGGCAGCAAAGCAGCCTGTCTAGGCCTCATTATCTCATGTCTGATCCTATGGATGGAAGGGGAAGGGGGGTTGTCACTTAATCAAGGAAGCCAAACTTTCTCTATTCTCTGTGCCTTTAACCCTATCACAGTTGGAGGTGATCTAGTAGTACTGAAGAGGTTAAAGCCACAAATCGGATAAGTATTCATGGTGCAGTTTGTTGACAAGACAAGCACTTTGTTCTTTTTTTTGTGATTAATTGTAAAACATTGATGACTGATTACCTACTACAGTGAAGTGGCAATATTATAACTGATGTTGGGTGATAGTGTATGCAGCAGACAACATGTACTGATGTTTTATTAGAATTTATTGTTCAAAGCAAGTGCAAATACTACTTAGAAAAAGGAAATGGCTTTTGTCTTCTGAATATGCTACATAGTAGATAATGTGGAAAAAAGACACAGGTCTGTCAAGTTCATCCTCTATGTGTGTTTGAGTGTAAATATGATCTGTTTCAAAAATAATCCCTACTAGAAGGCCAATTTTTGTGAGTAAAAAAAAAAATATTTATTTCTTTCTCATTCTCTCACCCCCAACCCTATACCAATGAAAAGATAAATCCCTGGATTAACGTCCTATTGAAATTGATAAATATCACAGCCCTGTATATTGTAATGTCTAAAAGTTTTTTTAATTGGTCTAACAGTTTAAGATTAAAACCTCTTTTTATCCAATCTTAAATTGCGGCTACATTTCTTCTTCAGAGAACTGAAACAGGTTATTAATATTTACATAATCACCTTTAATATATTTATACATTGTGATCATATCCATCCTTAGGCCCCTTTCACATGGGCGGTTGTTCTGCCGCTTGTAAATGTAGTTTTTTTTTTTTCATTTTAAAATTCCAACACTCCTGGCACAGAGATCACTTGCGTTTGTACATTGCGTTTATCTGCGTTTCCGTGCGTTTACGCATGTTTGCATGTAGCTGCGTTTAGCTGCTGTAGTAAATTCTTACCTTTTCTAATGCAACTGTTTACTTATTTTTTCTTTTGTACTATGATTAACTGCGTTTATGTACAGATAGCTGCGGTACATCGCTCCCGGACGCAGTCAACTTTATTTTTCCTAAATGCATAAAACCGTATGTTATGAAAACATTGCTAAATGCAGTGTGTGAATGGAGCCATAGGGATGCATTGTCTGCATTTAGCTGCGGTAAATAAGTTCCTCTAACTGCAGCTAAAAGCTGAAATCTATGTGAAAGGGGCCTTAACCACTTCCAGTCCGGCCCATGTATATAAACGGCCGGACGGGAGCACTGCAGGGTCGGGTGGCTGTTTATAAACGGCCTCCCCTCTCCCTACATGTGTGTGCTTTCTGGGAGCGTGCAGCACTGCGATCCGGTGCCCGCTGTGTCCTCCGGACACAGTGGAACACCGATCGTTGTACGGGACCTCTGTGTGAGCTCCCGATCATGTGATCACTGATTGGCCAATCAGTGATCACATGAAGAGTAGTAAGCAAGATGTCACTTCTGAATGATCACAGAGACCACATGGTACAAGGCCATTCACAACAACCTTGTACCATGTAACAAGGTGTGACCAATCACAGCTCACACAGTATTTCTCAATGGCTGCAAGAATGCAGCCAGAGAGAAGAAGAAATTATTGCTTTTACAGCCTTTATGGGTGTGTAAAAGCAATCAGTGTAAAAAAAAAAAAAAAAAAATTTTCATCACCCCCGAAATGTAGTACAGTGTCACTATGGTGACTCTGTACTGCTAGGGTGACAGTATGTAAAAAAAAAACAACCACATAAATAATATAAAAAAAAATAAAAATGTAAAAAAAAATTTAGAAAAATTATAATTTTTGGTTATAAACTAATTTGGGTTATTTTTTTTTTACTAAAAAGATAACTGAATAGAATTTGGTCAAGATTTATGAAGAAAGAATATTTATTTGCAACATTTTATAAGAAAGACACTTTTTTTCAAATTTTTGGACTTTTCATTTATATAGCAAAAAAAAATAAAAATCCCAGTGGTGAATAAATACCATCAAAATAAAGTTTTATCTGTCTCAAAAAAAAGCTAAACAATTCATATGGGTACAGTGTTGCATGACTGTGCAATTGTCATTCAAAGTGTGATAGCGCTGAAAGCTGAAAATTGGCCTGGGCAGGAAGGGGATAAAAGAGTCCAGACTTGAAGTGGTTAAAAAGGCTGTAAGCCTCAGACATGAAATATGAACAAAGTATATCCCTCGATAGTGTGTAATTGTGTCTATCCAGAGCATTTAGGGGTGGATTTAGTAAAACTGGAGAGTGCAAAATCTGGTGCAGCTCTGCATAGAACTAATCAGCTTCTAGTTTTTTTTGCACTCTACAGTTTTAGTCGATCAGCCCTAACACAGGCCATACATGGGTCAAATTCTGAACAAATTTTCTTTAGAAAATTGGACATTTTGTGCATTTTGTTATCCGATTATGCCCGCATTGATTTAAAAATTCGAACAACCAAGCCTTTTATTTCACCTTATGTGGCTGCAGAAAATAATTTTCATGGCTAGGAATCTTCTTTTCTTTCCAGGTCACAGCTCATGCTCATTTATTTTTTGAATATATTTCTAATATAATCTCTCACGATTCTTCCATCATTAATTAGAAAATTTTTCGTCTTTCAAAAAATTTCCAACATGCCCGATCATTGTAATTTGATGGCCGTATAAAAATCAGCCAATGCTGTGACCCACTAATGGTGCAAAATTCAAATGAAAAGTCTTAGTTACGATTTTCGAAAGAAAATTAGTTTGGAATTTGACCCATGTATGGCCTGCATTAGTGTCATTTCTTTCTGCTGCTCCATTTCTCTACTATCTGCATGAGTCATTTCTGACAAGCTTTCCTGACACCAAGAGAAAAAAGGTGACAGGGGAGGCAGTTCCAGCAGATTGACAGCCTCAGCTCTGTTCCTATGAGCTGTGTGGAGGGGGTGTATCTCTTCCCTTCAATCAGCACTCAGAGCTCTTGTCACTGAGCTCTGCAGTGTGTAATTTCAGCTCAGCCCCATTTTTCTGCCTGCTCAGACAAGCTTTATAAATTCTGGACTTTGAACGGATGTAGAGAAGAGAAGATTGCACATAAATAGGTACAGCCTATGTAGGAGGATTTGTTTCTTCTAGGTGTATCACCTGAGGCCAGTCACTTTACTGGGTATATGTAAGGGTTTATAACCACTCTAAAGCCTCTCTTCTTCAAAGTAAAGAAATGTAATCTTTGCAATCATTCCTCACAACGGAGATCCTCAAACCCCCTTATTAATTTTTGTTGCCCTTCTCTGAACTCTTTCTACTTCAATGACATCTTTTCTGCAAACTGGTGACCAAAACTGCAGTCAACTTTAAAGATGATGCCAAACTACGATTTTATAAAGGGGCAGAATTATGGATTTTTCTCTTGAATATGTGCTTTTTAAATACAAGAGAGTATTTAGCTAGCTTTTTTAGCAGTAGACTGGAATTGCATGTTGTTGCTGAGTTTACAAGGACCCCCAAATTCTTTCCATCACAGATTCACCCAGAGGAAGCTCTCTCAAAGAATATGTTGCATGCATATTTTTAGCACCCAAGTGCATGATTTGACATTATTCAATACTGAACCTCATCTGCTTTGTAGTTACCCTCCTTTCTATATTTTACAGGTCTTCCTGTAATAATGATACATCTGTGCCAAATGTATTTCCCTGCATAATTAGTTTTTGTCAGCAAACTTAACTCTTAATTCCAACTTCAGTATCATTAATAAACAAGGTAATCAGCTTTGCCCGAAGTTAGAACCTCAAGGCACTCAGCTCACAACCTTCGTCCATTTAAACTATGGTTTTAATCATTTATCATTACTTTCTGGACGCGTTCCTGTAATAATTTTTCTGTCCATGTAGATATAATTTCTTCTACAGTAATATACCTTTATTTAGTAAATTAAATGTTTATGAAGAAGTGTTGAATGCCTCACTAAAGTCCATACATACTACTGTCCATCCACTGGCATCTGAATTCCCACTCACTTCCTCATTGTATTATAATACGTAGATCTGAAAAGAACTGGAATAGTACCAACTGACTGGTCCTTTTAGACCAGTCTGTTGGTACTATTCCAGTCAGTAAAGTGTCTTTAAAAAATTACATACAAGGCTCTGATTATAACAGAGCTAAGTTCTCCAAGGACTTGTGGGTGTAAGCCATCGGTTCTGGCCTTAAACATGGACATAGATGGATTAAAAGTTGGCTGGTTCAGCAGGGACTGTCCGAATTTCTATCCATGTGTGGCCTTCCCCGCTTGACAGAAGTCAAGCATTAGACTGACTTCCGCTGAACAGAAAAGCTAGTAAATTTTTGTGGATCAGTAGCTGCAGCCACTGATAAGTGTATTCTGACAGTGGAGAGTCCTGCTGTCTGATTACAATGTCCCAGTAGGGGGAGATTCCTCATCAAACTTGTTTCTGTGGATGGAGGAATGTTTGTTTTTTTCTTCATTCACCCTGTTATTCTGTTTTGAACCCAAATTTCTGTTGGCCACAAAGGTACATTCAGTACATTGCTATTAGTATTACAGTGCTGACTATCAAACCCATCTTTTCTGTTTGTATAAACGGAAGAGAAAAATGTATTCAATGAATCTGCCTTCTCCTTATCACTTGTGACCAACTCCCCATATTCATCTTTTAAGGAGCCTACGTGATCTGTTCTTGCCTAGTAACAGGCATACAATTCTTAGATGCAAGTTCAGTCTTTCAATATGATCACTACACAGTGGTGACACATTCCACAGTGATGACACATTTTTTACAAAGACACCACGACTGAAATTTTGCAGCATGCTGAAAGATTTGTGTTCTCAGTATTGTAGAGTTTAACTCAGGAAGGTTTATAAAATATGCTTTATTATACTGTATAGTAAATAACTAAAAATGATTTATTAGCATGTTATGCGCATATGAGGGAAAATGTGAAAAGAGTAAAACCCAGCCCACTCCTTGTACTGCATATTTCTTCATTTGTTTTCAGAAATGCCTCACTTAGGAGTTATGTATTTTTTTTCAATCAGAAATTGCTATGTTAACTCAAAAACTACTAGGTCATCTCATCTGTCATACTGTTTGGAAAACTGGATGGGTGGTCATAGATATGCAGTTTCCTCACATCAAAGGTGGTCAAAGATCTGGCTGGCCATGCACAAGCCCTAAGACTCTTCCAGCTTGGCTGGTAAAAACAGGTGTGATCAATTTCCTGGGGAAAGGGGGCATACAGTTTCCAGGACATTCAAACCATGCAGTGTGCCTCATCACTACTGCAAATAATGGGTCATGTGAACATATTTTCACATAAGAAAGAAGGCTAGATGATCTCCAACATCAGACACCCAGAAAATGTTGAAGTCCTTGCCTACTCTGCTGTTAGATTACTAGAGACTGGTTAAAGAATAAGTTCACCTTTAAAAAAAAAATATTAAAAGCACATTTTTGCAGGTAAAAAATGTGCATTTATTATTTTTTCTTCTAAGGAGCCTGCAGAACATTACAGCCACGATCAGCAGATTGTGGATGCAGACTCTCAGCATAGCTGTCTGCCCGTACTTCGTATAGGCAGGCAGCTACCTGAGAGCATTGATTTGTAAGGACAGCACCAAGTCTTGTAGACATCGAATGAACAAGTTGGCGACATATTGCAACATCTATCTTTTTCCATTCTTCAAGAACGACCTCTTATAGAGCCTGGATGCTGGATGGCGAGTGATGCTCAACTTGTCTCTTCAGAATTCCGCAAAGGTGTTTGATTGGGTTCAAATCAGGAGGCATACTTGGCCACTGAATCACTTTCATCCTGTTCTTCTTCAGAAATGCAACAGTGGCCATAGATGTGTAATTCTGATCATTGTCATATTGGAAAAGTATAGGACGATCAAGAGCACAGAGTAATGGTAGCATCATCTGTTTCAATATAGAGCAGTATATCTGTGAATTCATGATACCATCAATAAAATGCAGCTCCCTGACACCAGCAGCACTCATGCAGCTGCACAGAAGAACACTTCCACCACTGGAGGCACCATGCATTCTTCTTTGTACTCCTCAACTTTGTAATGCCATACAGTTTTGAAGCCATTATTTCCAACAACATTTATCTTGGTCTCATCACTCCAGAGTACAGAGTCCCAGTAGTCTTCTTTTTCAGCATGCCAAATTCTAGGTAGGCTTTTTTGTGCATGGTCTTTAGGAGAGACTTGCTTCGTGGACGACACCCATGCATACCATTCCTTAGCAGTGTACATCGTATTGTGTCACAGGAAACAATCACCCCAATTTGACTTTTTACTTCTTTAGCTAACTGCAGTGAACTTGCATGGTGATTTTCTTCAACCCTTCTCATTAGAAGATGCTCCTTGTCGAGGTGTTAACTCCCGTGGATGGCCTGGACGTCTCTGTGGGGTGGTTGCAGTTCCATCTTTGTTAAATTTTTGTATCACTTTTGCTACAGTATTCTTACTGATAAGTAAAGCTTTACTGATCTTCTTGTAACTTTCACCTTTCTTGTGTAAAGAAATTATTTTCTTTGTCAGGCCTTGTGACATTTCTCTTTCAAGTGGTGTCAGTGCTGACAGCATGAAATGGGAAGGTTTTTCTTTATTAATTAACTGTCTGCTGCTGACACCTGTTTAATGAATAATTAGAGTCACCTGTAGCTGAATTCTTGTTAATTAGGATTTTGTTGTCTAAAATGTAGCTTTGCTCCTAAGACATTCATTTCGGTGTATTCATTTTTGCAACATGGACTTGAATGAATTTGTTAGGAAAAATACTTTTTTTGTGTGTGAAAAAAAAATTAACAAATCTTGTTTGCAATCAATCGTCCGCATTTGTGGGAGTATTTTGTAGTATAGTGTCCCATAGAAAATGTTGTTTCTGAAAGGAAAGTAAAGGTTTTCTGACAAATCTGTTGGGGTGTACTCATTTATGCTGAGTACTGTGTATACAAGTAAATTCTACATACACAAACATACAGTTAGGATGCATTTACACATATAACTGTCTTTTATGATGCACCCATAAAGTGCATCTGAATATGCTGGAGGTAGAATAATAGATTTAAAGTCCATTATTTTAGTTTACTTTTTAGCTGATGATCTGTAAAGGTATACTGTAAATGTCTATATGCACTTTTTGGAAATCCTTGCATTCCACAAATGCATGAAATACTAAGCTTAGAAATTTTAGTTATTTCTTAAAGTATATGTTAGGGCAAAAACATATGCCGTACATGTCTGAAATAAATGAACATTCACCCATGTTTTATTACTTTAAAGAGCCGGCAAGTACAAAATATACCCAATGATCTGTTGGAAATTCTCTCAGCTCCCCAGTACTGTTGTGGGCTAATGACATAAAGCATTTTTGTGGACTTAGTGGTGTCAGCCCTGCATAGCTGTCTATTGCTAAACTACTCAACCCTTCCCACTCTGCTATCCCCACAGCATCAATATTAATGATTCAATAGTCCAAGATATGTACTAGGAGGTCCAACTAGACTCCATTGAGACAACACAGAAAGTGTGCACAAGACATGGGAAAGTTCTAATTTTCTGACATGATTAACAAGATTTTTTTTGCATTTATTGAGCTGATATATCGAAATGCTTTCAATGCTATATCTAACACACCAAATGGTAGCAAATAAGAAGAGTTTCATGATATGGTTTACATACATTTTAAGCCAACATAGTCCCATCTTTATCTTTATTATTTTATGGATATTTATTTATTTTTTATTTCATATGATATAAATGAAAAAAGACTGACGTTTAAAAAAAAATAATATTCTTTACTTTCTGCTAGAAAACATATAAAAAAATATAAAAATCTAATTTTCTCATACATTTAGGCCAAAATGTATTCTGCTACATGTCTTTGGTAAAAATTTTTCCAATAAGTGTATATTGGTTGGTTTGTGTGAAAATTAAAGTGCCTACAAATTATGGTATATATACTGGAATTTTTATTTATTTACTATTTTATTCTAGTAATGGTGGTGATCAGCGACTTATAATAGGACTGTGATAGTGTGGTTTGCAATTTGACACTAACTGATATTAGCTGGGAGGTACACTATCTAACTGACATCTCCAGTGACACTAATATAGTGATCAGTAATAATACTATACACTGTCACTGTACTAATGACACTGGGTGGGAAGGGGTTCGCATCTCAGGGTAATCAAGGGGTTAAGTGTGTGCCTAACAAGTGTATAATATGTGCTGTTTTCTAAATATCTGTTTGCTCCTTCTCCCTGCAAAGCAGGAAGAAGAAGCAAAAAAGATTGTTCCCTCTGTACAGAGCCCTGTGTTTTGGACATAGCCGATCAGTAGGTCTCAGCCACGAATCATTGGCTGAAATCTGTTGACAAACTCTCTTTGTGTCCAATCACAGTAGGAGTCGGCTGGGGGAGGGGGGGAAACGTGTGCGCACCCTGAACCCGGAAGACACAGCCGGCTTACAGGTACGTGATTGTGCCTGTATGAGACTTCTGGTCACAGTAAAATGCAGCTGGGCAAGTGGTTATAATTTGTTTTAAGAAGAAAAAAAAATAACTTGACATATAGTTTAAGCCATTAACCTCCCTGGCGGTATTCCCGAGTGTAGCTCAGGGTAAAGTTTCAGCACCACAAGCGGTAACCCCGAGCTACACTCGGGAATACCTTGCAGGGTTGCTCCGGGATCTCTTCTGCACTTACCTTGTCCTGCGCTCCCGCAATGTCCCCCGTGCAGTGTCCCTGGCAATGTACTCCGGCCGATGCCGGCATCTGTCTTCCGGGCTCCGTTCTCTGCGACGTCATGACGTACGGGGGACAGAACTGGTGGAAAATTTGAAAATTGAAAATGTGGCATTCACTAAAATCCCATAGTAAAACATTACTGTATCAAACCATTTCACATACATTTTGTCCCTAGTGCTTTGTCCTGTGCCCTGCCTGTATTTTTTACTGTTCTTTCTGCCTGGAAACTGAGAAAAGTCCATGGCGTCCAAAAAGCGTCCCTTTAGGTCAAAAGCGGTTTTAGACCAGCTAGAGAACAGCGATAGTAAATTAGAACTACTTGCAGAATTGAGTGATAATGATTCGTGGGGAAATTCGTCATCAGACTGAAAACGATTCTGCGACTTTGCTCAGTGATGTGCGAACTTGGCGCTATATTTCAAAGTTCAATGTTTTTGGTTTGATTATATTATTGAATTAAATTTATTATTATATTATTATTTTTTATGATTATTTATTAAATTATAATTTATGATTTTGTGTTTCAAATTTTAACATACCCAGGATGTTTACTAGATTCTTGTTCGGACAGATTTATCCCTAAAAATTACAGGCCTACAATAAAAAAAATACATATTTCCATGCAAAAAAATGTACCGCTTTGAGCACAGAAATATTGACATAATCAGACTGCTAGGGTGGCTACAGCCTCTCTCTGGAAATGTTCACCTTACTTTACCTTAGAGCTTTAGAAATTAGGATCTTGTGTCAAAATCTTATTTTGCCTAATATAAATAGAAATCCGGAGGTCACGGCAATAACTTTCAAAAGATTTACACCCATGCATCTATATTTGCATTAGCCACAACTTTGTTGGTCTTGCAAGCCCGAATGTTCACAGTTAGGACAGAACAACGCTGACTGGGCAAAACATTTTTCTAGTCCACCCAATTATTTTTCTTAGGTTTGCCATTTCCATTCCTTGCATAGTCAGACTGTCACACAACTTCACTTAAATTGTTGGTATCCTGTGACAATTTGACTTCACGTATGGTTAGCTTAAAATTTCACAGTATTAGATCATTTCTCAGTTATACTGGAGAACCACATATCTATTTCATGCATGTGGAAATGACTTCCCCTTGAAGCCTTCTGCCAGCTCCGAATACTGCATTTTTCTTAATTAACAGGTAATTGAACATTCAGCAATGTCCTGCACATGGCTTGGGCAACACACACCACTCTGTTGAGCGTATTTTAACCTTTCCTAAAACAAAGTTACAAGTGGAGTAGTGATCATCTGTTTTTTGTACAGTATTGCACATAGGAAGTTGAAATAATTGAACCACACTGGTAAAATCACTGTTTAGAGTTTTTTTTTCCTCTCTGCTATACATAATTCACAGTGCAGACAGCCAGTTTCACAAAGACAGACACATATTTTCCAACAAAAACCATTTCACCTAGTACTGAATCTGGTTTTGTTTTCCTGCTTATTATAAAAGTGTTCTGACCTGTTCTGATTTAAATAATTAATGTAAAAAATGTTTGCTTATTACATACAAAATTTAAACAATAAGCAGTGCATTTTTTTGGTGCCAAACAAGGTAAAAGTTATTTTTAAAAAAAGTGCAAAATACATTTTTTAAAAAGCTTTTTTTGTACTTTTTCATACACCAATCTAGAATGTGGACCTAGCATCTACTTTTTTCAGAGAAAAATTGTTAATGTTCTTGATGCCTGCATTGATGGTTTCTAAAGATGGATTTGATTTTGAAGTTAGTTATCATAATAAATACAAACAATTATATTTAAAAGGATCACCCCGAAAAGGCACGATCACTGATAAAAAAAAATGTCAAATTCAAGGATTGACATTTTTAACAATATTTGAAGTCAGGAATTCCAATAAAAGACCAAGTGTTCCCTTGAATTTGGGTTTGAATTTTAGGTGCTGTTCTGTAAAAACATAGTTTAGGATACTTGCTTGCTATTAAATTGTTTAGTGAAGCACATTATGATGATATGTGACCCTATATGAAAAGTTGAGTATTTGAAAAAGAGCTACAAAATGTTTTGGGCATTTATCGATCCAAATTCAGGCATACAGCATTCAAGAAAGTTGTTACTGTTACAATTATTTCTAGGAGTGGGCTCACCATACAAACCAGTCATGATCTGCAAATGTTTTCTACACTTGATAGCATTTGCATACACAGATTTACCATTAAAAAGCAAATTCATCCCATTTGTGAAGCTTGGTGGAGGAGGTATAATGGTGTGGAGTTTCTGTCTTGTACAAGTGCCTGGATGGCTTACAATTGTTGAGGACCAATTCCAAGCATTATCAGGTGAATCTACAGCAGCCATCAAATATATTAAATATATAGATTCATATACTCTATTTTGTGGCATATTTAGAAATCAG